GCTAGCCAATTCTTAGAGATAACCAGGGTCTCCACCAACAGCAAGCCTTTGATATGCAAACTAACCAGTAAGGAGTCATACCTTCTCTATCTGACCAGATTCCCCAGGAAACAGTCTCTCTGACTTAATCAACCCAGCGCCAGCTACAAGACAACTAAAGAACATTCCTATAGCCCAAAGCCCACCAAAATCATTCACACTAGCCAACTGTCAGCTGTGTACCCTGCTCTGTCTTGCCCTTCCTGCAGAAACTCCTATAAAGGCCATAACCCAAGCACTCCCCTCACTCCTGCTTTGCTTCCTGATCAAAATCTGGCATTCCTCCTGGGGCCTTGCCTGGTGAGACACGGCTCTTCTGTCTAGGGGAACTGTGAGTAACATTAAACTTTTCTTCCAATGGCATCGACCTCTGCCTGTGGTCACTTAGTCACCTTTATAAATTAAGACCCAGGGACAAAACAGCCCTTCATTTCCATCTTACCCTCTTACAGCTCTCACCTTCATGCCAGCACACGTGTATATAGACAAAAAGAATATATTCAGGAGAAGGTAGAATAAGAGGCTGATTGGGAGTAACTGGCATGGGATCAAGGATTATTTTAAGCAATACACTGCAGATGGGAAAATATAGTAAGGGATTGACTGGGGATTTATTTTAACCAAGTCTCATAGTAAGACACAGCTAAATAAACTCTTCCTTTTTTATTCATTCATTAATTCAATGAATACTTACTGAACACTGACTGTGTGCCAGGTAACGGTCCTAGCATCAGGGATACAGTAGTAACCGTAATAAAAGTCTTAAATTTTGTTCTTTGCATGAGGGTATTGACTACAGAGGGACAGAATGCTATTCATTGTGTTTCATAGAATATTAGAGGTGGAAGAACCCTAAAATATTCACCTATTCCGTCTCTACTCTTCCTTCTCTAAACCCTAGAATCTGAGAGCTCAAGAGATGTATCTGTCCTAGATCACACATCCAACCAGAGACAAAATGAAGTCAGGTACCCAGTACCCACATCTAATGTTTCCTGCCTCACAAGAGTGTAAAGTACCTGTGCATGATGACAATGATAATAAAAATGTCACTGAGGATAAGAATGAAACACACATACCTTGTCAAAGCAGACAAGGTTTAATTGTCCACATACATTAATCCTCTGGGGGCTAATACAAAAGATGCCTCTCTTCTTCAGCCTCCGCTGGGCATAGATAATGCCTGTGGTCAGGGCAGCAGGTAGAGCGGGAGGAACCGCAATTGTGATGACATCAAGGGCTTTCTTCACCACCTCCTCCGGAGGTTCCTGGGAAGATAAAGTCCCTCTTTAGCTATTACAGATAAATCAACCGTGAACACTTTTATGCATATGACTTTTTTCTTCCTTTTTGTTTACTTCTTTAGGTCAAGCTCCTAGAAATGATGTGAGTGGGCCAAACGTGGTTTAAAGGGTATGAACATGTTTAGGGCTCTCAATAGATTTCGCCAAAGTGTAATGAAAAAGCTTGTAACAGTTCATACTGCTACCAGCGGAGAACAATGTACCAGTTTGCCATGATCTCACCAACACTGGGTTTTATTTTAAATTCCTTGTTTAACAGCTATAAAATACTACACTATTGGAATAAACATCCTCAGATTGAAGATGAAAAAATAGTGTAAGGAAAAGTCCAAGAGTAGAGGCATGTTGATATCTCAATAAACAAACTGTTTTATCCCACTAGATCTGATGGCTATTATGGAACTTGGTGATCAATTGCTTATATTGGGCATCTGGGAGTATATAAGCAGGTTTCAGTGTTTGGCTTTGCTTTCCCAGGTTTGAAAACTGTGACTTATATTAAGGTCAACATGGAGAGTATAAATTATAGATGAGTGTACGTGTGCATGTAGTAAAAGAACAAAAGCTGTTTACCCCACTGAGCACATAGACGCACAAAGTATAGATCATCCCGATGGTGGCTGTCCCTACGAGGCACAGGAGGAACCTGATGGCATCCCTGTAGAGCTTAAAATTCATCGGCTTCGGGTACAGAATAGATCTCACGAGGTCCCCCTTTGCAGTGTTGAATCCTGAAGCAGCAAACACACACCTCATACTCTCAGGATGACAAATACTACTGTTAGTGCTCTTCTAATCCTCAACACAGCCTTTGTTTTCTCTAGAGATACTTAAACAGTGCTTAAGCCCAAATGCAATTAAAGGACAATTGGCCAAATACCTAAGTGCTAGAATGGATATACCTTAGCTCTTTCAGAGCCTATTCCTCTCTGGCTTTCCTTCCTTATACTTTTAATTTCAATGCATCCCAGAGATAGGAAAGCACCGTATGGGGGCAGAGCACAGCTTTTCCAAATACAGCTTCATTTTAAGGAAAGGATTTGTAAGTGTGCATGGACATGCACACACACACACACACACACACGCACAGAACACCCGAATTTAAATTAAATGGCCCAGTAAATGCAGATGGATTCAATTTCTAATACTTTTCATCATCAAGTTTTCAGTTTCTAGTCCTGCCTGGAAAGAAGTTGAGATTAGTTCTTTGGGTTAGAATACCTAAGTTCTAGGTCCAGCTCTGTCAGTGAGTGGCTGTGTGATTCTTTTTAAACTTCACTTGAATTGTGCAGGCCCCAGCCTATTCATGTACAAAATGAGGACAGGCATCTTTGTTCTGATAATTTGATATGTGGAAATAGTTTATAAATTACAAAGCATATGAATAATAATTGTTGTCATCAATGTTATTATTTTTACTAAAAGGTATAGGCCATAGCTCAATTCACATTTTAAATATCTATATTTACATATATGGGGTCTGTCATCTAAAGACTGCTCCTTACCTAATTCATTTAAGGCACTAGACATATTGAGCAAAAATATTTCATCAAAATAATAAAATGAAGGAGATGCTAACTAACCTGTCTGCAGTACTACTGCTTTCACGGTGCCAGAGCAAGCCCCCCTGGCCTGGATAACCTCTGTTCCACAGAAGAGGACATGCCGTTTGTAATCCGCTTCACTCTGTGTTTTCCAGGGCACAGAGCTATCCATCTTAGGTAATGGAGTTTTAGTTACCGGAATACTTTCTCCTACAGAAAACAAGCATCTCATTTTGTGAGGTGGGAGGCCTTCACTCACTTAAACATGCAAATACTAACTCATCACACAGCAGGCATTTTTGGAGGCTGCCATGTGGCAGGAACAACCCTTGGTATAGGGGATACAAGGAGAAGCATAGTTCTTGTTAAGAGGTTTGTAGTCCAGAGGGGGAGACAGCCATGGAAACAAATAAGTATAATGTCATATTATAAATACTATGAGCATTGTAAAATGAAACAGAGATGCTGAAATAGACTGGAAATAAAGATTTAGGGAATAGCAAGTTGTGGGGTCTGGGAAATGAGAGGCCATGAGAGCTATGTAGGAGCCAAAGCGTGGAAGGCCCTGCATGCACATACTTAAGTGTTTAAATGTTTTTCTATAGGCATTGGTGGCAGGAGGGAAATAGGGAGATATTCAGCTGTCTGATTCAGGAGAGTACTATGACATTTACGTACAAAGAGAGTGTACTCTGTCTGCAGTACAGGGAATGAATTGAAGTCTGATGAGGTTGGAGGCTGGATATCCAGTTGAGAAAAAAAATCACAAGAGTCCTGCTTAAAGAGGACAAGGTCTGAACTATGGCAACTGGCAGTAGGAGTAGAAAAAAGGCACTGGTTTTGAGAAATAAGAAATTGAGCAGCTACAAAACTTGGGGAGATTTTTATATTGGCAGATCATAGGGACAGAGGAATTCTAAATGGCTTCCTGGTTTCTGACTTGGAAGAAAGAGCAGAGGGTAGCATTAATCATCAACACAGGGATTATAGGAGGAAGGAGGAAGGAATTGCCTTTCGGTCCCTGATTTGGAGATGCCTTGTGGAATGACCATGTCGAGATGCTTTGTAGGCAGTTAGATATTTATTTGGGTCTGGAGCTCAGGGGAGAGGCCTTGACCAGAGATATTTAGTCACAGGTCATCACCTTATAAACAATAATTAAAGCCACAGGAAAAGACAAGATTACTTAGGGTTCGAGTGAAAGGTGAGAAAAGGAAAGGTCCAGGACCCCTGAACAACATCAAAAATCAAAGAGGTGGAGGAAGAGGAGAAGTGGAGGAAGCTGAATGGTATTGTCAGTGGTAGAAGAACTTGGAGAGTCAGCACTGACTTGGAAAGTTAGAAGAGTGTTTTCAGAAGGAAGAGATGGTCAGAATGGTTAAATGCAGCAGATAGGCCACTAAGATGTGAAATTTAAAGAATCCATTGGATTTGCCAATTGGGACATTTGTGACCCTTCCCAGCACACTGGGAGGGGCAGATTTCAGTGGGTTAAGTGGCAATACAAGGTGGTGAATGAGTTGTGAAAGTAACCAAATAAAGAATAAAGCTTAGAGAATAAAGCTTATTGAAGCCCTCCACCTCCATTTGTAGAAAGGACAGTATAAGATCAGGGATATGTTCCAGCATACTAGGGCCACTTTCATTAGGAAAATTGCACTTGGCTTTGTAAAAGTCCCAGCACGGAAGGATTTTTATCAGTCTATGGATTCCCTAGAGAAAGGAACCTGACCTGTCACACCTGTTTTGTTTTGTTTTGTTTTGTAAGTTCACATAGGAGGGAGCTGTGTGCTCTTGTCTGCATTTAATGCCTTCCCGGTCTGCCAGGAGAAATAGACTCGATTTGGACTTTAATGGGAACCACAGTACTGTACATCAATACGTATTTATAGCCTCCAATTCCATCTCTGAAAAAGGCTTTATGATTCTTTAGCTTACAGAAAGGTAGGCACAGCATCTTCTCATAAGTGCATATGTGAGTAAGAACTCAAAGCACCGTGACCTTGAGAAGTCACTTCTCTCTGAACCTCAGCTTCCATATCCATGATATGACGTCCCTCCCAGCTCCAGCATGCGATTTAAAAATGAAACACAGTTAGTCCAAAATATCCAGTGTGTATTCTGAAGTTAGCAGATTTGGCAAATCCTGCCTCAACCACTTATCAACATTTTCAAACCAAGCTAGGAAGAGCCTGGCCTTGACCAGGGTGGGGCAGGGTTGTGGGGGAGGTGTTTCAGGATTTCATTAATGGTTTTCAAACCCTCCGTGTTTTTCTGAAGATGTATTTTATAGAAAAATGCTAAACATAAAAGTCACAGATGATTCTGAAACATCTAATGACCTCTAAAATCTTTAAAGGTAAAATGACAGGGTTGTAATATCTAACCTAGTACTAGAAAGCAGCTTTAATTTGAACTCTCAGATCCATCCAGTGCAGGACTGTTAATAAGATTTGTGGGGATAGGAAGGTCCCATAGCAACCCCATGCTTTGCCATTATCATTCAGGAAAAACCTGGAAGAACCAGCAGAGGCTGTAAGCTAGGAGGTAGAACCATACCTGTCAGCATGCCTTCATCTACCACACAGCTTCCATCTATCAGAATGGCATCACACGGCATTTGCACTTTGTTCCCCGTCAAAATTAATAGATCTCCAGGTACCAGGAAGCGTGATTCCAGCTCCTGGACTCCAGCTGAAAGTGTGAGGAGACAGAGTTGAGTCAGGTTTTTTCCCACAAAAATACAGTCCAACATCTACCTAAATTGGAGATCAATGAAAAAGCAACCAGGGCATATATAAAAAGGAAGCCATTCCTCAACATTGATTTGAAATCTGCAAACTATAAGAAAAAAGGGTAATACATTATATTACATAAAATAAAAACCTTTGTGTGGCAAAAAAAAATAAATAGGCATTCAGTAATTCGTGCTGAATTAGGCCAACCTGGCTCACTTATCGGAGACGACCAAATTTATAATGTACTAGTAACAGCCCACGCCTTCGTGATAATCTTCTTTATAGTAATGCCCATCATAATTGGAGGGTTTGGAAACTGACTTGTCCCTTTAATAATCGGAGCCCCCGACATGGCTTTCCCTCGTCTAAATAACATAAGCTTTTGACTGCTTCCTCCTTCTTTCCTACTACTAATAGCATCCTCAATAGTTGAAGCCGGCGCAGGCACAGGCTGAACTGTGTACCCCCC